ACTTGTGGATTTTCGAAAGAAGGACTTTTAAGAAAACATCTCGGATTTCTGAGTGTACTTTTAAAGAAAAGCGAAAATATTTTTGGACTTTAATTTTTCAACAATTCTTTTTGACATCTACGAAAGAAAGACTTTTAAACAAGGAAAAGAATTTATTTATTTTTTTATTCTTTTTTTCTGATTTTTTTGAATATTTTTTTTTTGAATTTTTGAAAAATAAATATTTCAAAATAAAGGAAACTAGTATTTTGGATTTTGATTTTGATTGTGATTGATTTTTATTTTTATTTCTTTTTTTTTTCATACGAAAGACTTCAGCAAGAAGGAAACTACTTTTTTTTTTTTTTTGAGTTTAAAAACTTCTTTTTTCTTTTGATTTTTCTAAGGAAAGATTTCTAAAGGAGGAACTAAAGGAAAATATTTTTGGATTTTTAAAAATTGGGGTCGGAACCGATGAGGTTTGCCTACGTATCTCACATCCGGTGAGAATCAGACCCGCGTAGTTCGGTCAGTTTTTACGGAACAAGGGAAACATGACACTTGAAAATTTTGGCTCATTTTGAAATGACTTTTCATTTTTTCTTTTTCAGAATTTCGGCAGAGTTTCATAATTTTCTAAATACCTACCTCTCATTTTTTTTTGATTTTTTTTTTTGATTTTCTTCCTCTATTCCAGAAGCCGGTCAACATGCAAGCCGAAACAAACAGATGAGCAAGTAGCACGTAAGATGCATCAGGATGGTCTTTTAATTTGGGTACACTTGTCCTAGACGGACCCAACCCCTATGTTGAGTCCCCAAAGTCAAATGCACGTGATGCAAACAAACGTTCCTACTAGGGATCCGACATGAGGCTATGTTATTCTAGGTTTAAAAACCTGGGTGTATTGTTCTAGACCTGGCTTACCCGAGCGGACAGCTCGAGCCGGGGGAGGGGGGGGCAGCGTACCGGGAATACAAAAGCTTCACCAATTTGCAACTTATCCGAACCTCGTTCTAAAATTGGATAAGACTCTAATAGAAGAGAAGTCACACGAAGTGCACACTCCCCAGATGATTTAGAAGACTCAGAGAGAAGAAGGGTTTCGTAGCAGCTTATATACAGTTCACACAATATCAAAGCGGTAAAAAGCGGCATTTAGCACATTAGGCTCAAACATGTAGAAAAATCAGATAATAGATAAAGCCAACTACAACAACTGTTCTAAGCTCGAATTCTTGAACCCTGAACCGAAGTTCTGGGTTCGATCCCCAGCAGAGTCGCCAGAGCTGTCACACCTCCTTTTTACACAACTGAAGGTAGCACAAGGGAGTTTTTCCAATTTAAGTGACATTATTCGAAATGGGATTATTTATTCATTTTTATTCAGAGTCGCCACTTGGGATGGTTTGTTTTCTGGTGTCCCAAGTCACCGGTTTATTTTAAAATCCCAAATCGAGGAAAATTCAACTTTCTTTTTGAAGTCTGTGAACCAGAAATTCTGAATAAGAATTCTGTTAACCCGAGGGAAGGTGTTAGGCACCCCCGGATTCTGTGGTTCTAGCACGGTCCCTTTAAACTATCAAAATTGGCCTATTATCTGATTTTAATACATGTTTAACCTATGGTATAATTTTAACTTATTAGCCGCTTTTAATTAATTTTAGGAAGATTCAACGTTATCTAAAACATGTATTCGGACCACGCCATATGAAATGCACTCGCGATCCACGACACATTTTATTTAACGTTGTTGAGATTTGAATTTGGGTCACATGAAATGCACACCCGAGTTCAGGAAAGTAATTTTTAAATAGCGCGCCTAAAGCAACTACGCACTTTCGAATTTGCGAGGGCCATGGAAAATTCAACTAAATGGCATGCCTCGATTCCTAAGGATACATTAATTAAGTGAGTACCATGCGTTTTGGAATTTTATTTGGCATGGCACGCCTCAAATTATTCCAAAGGGCTTTATTATTGGAAGCTGTTATAATCGGGTTACATGAAATGCACCCCCGAATTTGGGAAATAGGTATCATGACTATGTCACGGGAACCGTACCCATAGTCACAACGATTTTATTATTAATCGCGCCTAAAGCAAGCTACGATGTTCATGATTATTTATCTACTACATTTGAGATTTGGAGAGGCATGTGATTATGGATATGACATTAAAGACAACGTCGGATAATTAAAGTTGCTCGAAACACATGGTGCATATTAAAATTGGTTGAAGAGAATTATGGAAACAAATATAAATCCAAAACAATGATGTGCAGGAAAGACTAATTTTGATATTAATAGACGACACAAAGCACATCATAAGACAATAGAGTCGGGCTTGTTTTAAAATATACAATGACATTAAGGCAAATTTTTTTTGGCTCAAATAAAGGGATGTCGATTCTAACAAGAAAAGTAGCATTCCGTGCATTTGTTGTTACAGACGTAATCGCGTTTGCATGCTCAGCTGGTGCTATATTCAGCTACTATATCATGGCAGGAAATGCAGCAACTCTAAAGGAGTTGAACTTAAAAAAAAAACATAAGAAATACCACCACAAATAACATTTCCTACAAATAAACAGTTTATGCGATTTTCATTTGAATTAACGGAAAAAAATTTCCATAACAAAATAAATCTGGGCACAACTTATGGGTAACATACCTCGCCACACAAGGACTAAATTTCGAAGAAGTGGAGGCCGAATAAGTGCTTAATTCTAGTGGCCTCAGCAGCAAAACCAGTAACAGCAGATAAGAAACCCTCAATCAAACATGAAACCACAGAAACTTCAAAGCCTTAAACAAGAAATAATCGAGAGCAGAAACGAGAATTCCTTTAGATCTGTTCGGCGTAATACAGTACAGTTTCAAGTGTTTGTTCCGATATGCCGAAAAGGGGGGCGGAGAGCGGTGCTTATGTTCTGGTTTTTGGGGAGGGGATTGTCTTATTTTTCGTTGGAAAGGGCCTAAAACAACGCCGTTTTTTGCTTTTTTCAGAGAGGAGGGTTCTTTCATCTAATCCCCCTTTTTTGTCTAGGTCTAGCTTTTTATAAAAATAGAGTATGGGCCAAGATGGTATTGAGTATGGTATTGGGTTTTGTTTGTGGGAATTGGGTCAATTTGAATTCTAGCCCAATTTTAAGGCCAAATAAAAACCTTCTTCAAATTCTTCTCTTTTGTTTTCTTTTTCTTTCTCTAATTAATTAAATTCCTAAATTAATTTAAATCGTATAATTAGGCTAATTTTCTAACTACAATATTTATAAAAATTAGTTGATCCTAAATTAAAAATAAAAAATCACTAATCTAAAAACTAAAAGGTAAAAAAATATAAAATGAGACAATTTTGTGATTTTTATTTTTAATAAAGTAATTAATTAACTAATTAATCCTAAAAATATAAAAAAATAAAAATCTAAATGCAATGCATGGTATTTCGGTATTTTTCATGATTTTAATAAGAATTAAACGTGCACAAAAAATGCAAACAAAAAAATCCTTCAAAATCCTATAAAATGGCAAATAACTGAAAAAAATCTATTTTCTTGGATTTTACAGGAGTAATTCGTATAGGGCAAAAATCACGTGCTCACACCCACTTGCCTCTCTAAATTTCAAATAGATGCACTATGAGTTTCAAATCTCTCATCTGTTTTAATAATGAAGGCTTTCATTAGATCTTCAATGCTAGACTGATTAGAATGTGAAGGCTGGTAGTGTTGCCTCTGCTAATTCTGAAATCCTGAAGCTCCTTGTCCCCGGGGTCTCGGATTATTCTATTGCCATAAGTTCGGGCTACCACTTGGTGAACTCCAAGAAAAGCCTGTGTGCCTCTGTCCCATAGAGTTAAAATTATTACCACTCTGGTAGTTGTCTTTGTCAAAGCTTCCCACAACATTTACCACTTCATCTGCAGCCGAGGCTTGACACTCATGCGCTGGATGACTCCTTCCACAGAAATCACAAGCAACTGATGGTTGGCTCTGGACCTTGGCTAGCGTCAACTTTCTTATCTCTTTGGCCATGGCGTCTAGCTGGGCTTGCACTAATGTGTTGGAATCTACTAGATGAACCCCAGCTGATTTTCTTCTATCATTACTCTCAGCAAGCCACTGGTTAGCATCTTCAGAGAGCTCATCAAGAATTGCCATAATCCCCTCAGGAGTCTTCCACACTTTACAATGTATTCAAAGATTAGCCAATTTCGCTCAAACATCATGACACATCGTCCTAGAGTTTAAACCTCGAAATTCAAACTTCAGGATATCGTGTCCCAAAGTTCGAAAATTCTATCCTGAAATTCGAATCTTATGTCTTGAATTTTTCACACTAGGTTATTGTTGTTGTTATGTCCTCAATTTTAAATTAGTAATTTAGAAATTCAAGACACTTGTCCTGAATTTCAAATTAGCAGCTCAAAAATTCAGTACACTAAGCCCTGAATTTTCAAATTCAGTAGCTCTGAAGTTTGGATAAATTGACTAATATTTAAATATACTATAAATTATGAATTTATTTTAAATGACGGACTTAAAGGTGACTACGGCTGCAATCGAAACATGGGCAGGCCCATTTACGAACCCTACTCATACCGTTGGAATTAAGGACAAACCTGTTATTTTCAACGGACTAAAAATCCCTTCACGCCCGACTAATAGTCCGTTTGGCCAAGCTGCAAAAATCAGCTTATTTTGAGAAGTGCTTTTCTCAAAAGTACTTTTGGTGAGAAGCAGTTTGTGTTTGGCTAATTAATTTGAAAAGCACTTCTGAGCAGCAATTAGTGTTTGGCCAAGATTTAAAAAACTGATTCTAAGTGTATTTTTCTCAAAAATGCTTATCAAAAAAGTACTTTTTGGAGAGAAGCTACTTTTTTCTGCTTCTCCAAAACTGTTTCTGTTTCTGCACTTTTTTTCCTTCAAAAGCTTGGCCAAACACTTCAATTTTCGGCAAAAAAAAAAAAAGAGCACTTTCGACCAAAAAGAAGCTTGCGATTCAGCAAGCTTCTTTAGCCCTTTCAAGTTTGCTGGACGCCGGCGCACCGTGCCGGAAAAGTAGAAGAACAGCTAGCGATAACTGTAAGTTCAGTTTTGGCGTGCGTAAAAATCAGAATGGCAAAGCGTGAACTTTCCAGTACCTTGAGGAACTTGAAGGTAAAAAGGAGCTTTCAATTTGGTCCCTTTTTCTAATCTGTTTGTTAATTAAATAATAATTTTTGGCTTTATTTGAAGGTTTTTCAATTTGGTGCCTTTGATCTTGTTTGTAAAATTAAATAAAGTAGGAAATTTTAAGCTGGGTTTTGAGGGTTTTTAGTTCTTGCATATTTTTCTCAACTTGTTCTATTACGCTCTGTAAATTATATTAGCTTTATTTGAAGGTTTTTGCTAACTCCATAGATTTATAGCTAGCTTAAAAAGATTCCAACTTTGATAACTCTGAATAGAGGGAACGGATACAGCCCAGCCCGCCGGGGCTATGGTCTAGTGGCTAGAGTGAAGGCGCGTGTTACAAGTTTGAATCCTGCTTCAGACTAAAGCTGGTATTTAGATGGAGGACGTTGGGGCGGGCCCATTGGTCTACAGAGTATTGAACCGTGCGCCACCGGCCTTCGGGGATTTCTCGGTTATCGAAAACAATGTAGAGTGGAATGTATATAGAGCGTTCATGTAGTTGACTCGAAGTACATGAGATTAAGGCCTAGTTGTTGTATTTAAAGATTTTTTTTGATTTTTTTTGTAATTTCAGTTTATGCAAAGGGCAGCTCTGAGAGAGGAAAAGCCTAAGAAAGAAGAAGAAGAAGTAGTGATACCTGATGAAACCTTTCCCTCTAGTGCTCCCAAAAGATGGTAACCTTTTTCTTCAATTATACTTGCTTGTTATTTTGCTTGATAACTATTAGCATGGGATATTAAAGAGTGTTGAGATTTGAGTTGTATTTTTAGTTGGAGTAGTATTAAAATTTGTATACTTTGTAGCTCCAAGAGCTTTGGTCTAGTGGTAATAGTGCAACAAGTGATGTGCAGTTTAGTAGGCGCACATCAGAGGTTTGGATCTTGCTACAGACAAAAGAAGGGTAGATGGGCAGACCCATTATTCACCGAGTTCCGAATCATGTGCCACTGTCCCTCAAGGATTTCTCTGTTACTATAAAAAAAGATTATATACATAAAAGAAAAAGGGCAGCCCGGTGCACTAAGCTTCCGCTATGCGCGGGGTCCAGGGAAGGGCCGGACCACATGGGTCTATCGTACGCCGCCTTACCCTGCATTTCTGCAAGAGGCTGTTTCCACGGCTCGAACCCGTGACCTCCTGGTCACATGTCAGCAACTTTACCAGTTACGTCAAGGTTACCCTTCAAAGATTATATACATCGCACTATGAAAATATAACCAGATTTATACTCCTACAAGACACTATCTACTGTTGGAAATCTTTTTATCAGGAATCGTTCTGTGTTGAAAATCACTGCCTTTAAGATATGAGGAGTTTGATATGACAATAAAGAATATAGAGAGAAGAAAGAGGTCTGGATAAGAAAAGAACCTACTTAGCTGATATTATTATTCTCACTTCAAGAAGCTCCTTTAAATGGGAGCCCTTGCCTCTTTATGCGGCTGCCTTAGAATTTTTGGCAACTTCATCTTGCTCATTTCTCGATATGATAATATACTTCTTTCCTAGTTATTCTGATTCTGTGCAAATGCTTCAACTATTGAAATCAAGAATTACAATTGGTTAAAAGTAATGAAAGGGATTATCATTAACTAGTGAAACGGCATCTTCGACAGATTGGGATGGAAGTGGTGATTTATTACAAATAATGTTGTGGTGCAACCTATGAGTATACACCAATTTTTTGTTTTGAGATCAATGTTAACTCAGGACTAGTACAATTTACATTTTCCTTGGACTTTGTCTAATTTGGATTTAGTTTAAAGCTGGACCAAGCTTAATACCACTGAAACTAGATTTTTCCTTCTGGCGAATATCAAGTTTGCTGCCCAGATTTAGGCTATTCCTGAATACTACCTGTTAAAGGGCACACAGAAGGAGTAACTGAGTTAACTTTAACTGGTTAATTATAATATGAAGTATTCCTTTTCTTTCTCCAACATATGAAGTATTTCTTTCCTTGCAGTGCTCAAAAGCACTAGCACTAGAATGGAAGATGTATAATGTTTAGACTGCTCAACTATCAACTATGATCTTTGACATGTTGACAAAGCTTGACTTTGTATAGCTTTTTCTCGTAGATGGGTTTTAGGCATTTAGATCAAATAAAATTAGTGTAAACTAATTTTTTCTTCCGCTAGAGTTAACATATTTTATAAAGGGTATATCGGATGTTACAACAACAACAACTTCTTATACTAAGTTTCTGTCCCAAACAAGTCGGGGTTGGCTATATATAATATATACATCCTCGGTGACAGGTATACTGGATGCTAGTAACTTAATATTACCTCAGCGATGTTGAACTGAGTGCAAAAAAGTAATATTTTAGGATTTCCATTTTTAAAAATTTGAAGCGCAGTGGAATCTATTTCACGTACCGGTGACGCTATATGTTGTGGTTCAATTTATATATCGACTACTGTGTCCGCTACAACAAATAGTTCATCGTAAATTCATTTATAGATTGGGGAGTTTTAATATAATGGAAGGAGTTATATGTTCAGATCTCCAGTAGTATTAGGTTTGTTCCCACTCAAAGATGCTTGTTTCTTGCATTATTTTCATATTTACCTTTGTTTTATACACATTTACATTTTCTTGTGATTTTTCTTTGTTGCCTTTTCGCATGCAGTGTTGTCATTATGGAAGGGGATCCCCACGCTGGGACTACAAGAGGTCGGATGTCTTTTCAGTGTTTTAATCCTTCTATTGATGTGAGCATAAGGTTTGCATGATGGATGTATACTTTCTGAAAAGACTGTTCAGTTCCTATTCTCCTGTGGATTGTTATCCTGTCTCACCAAAGCCTTGTCTTGGTTAGAAATTAAGAGAAGAAGCGTCAAAACCACATTTCTGAAGGTTCTGCTGCTTGTTCTTCAGAGACGAGTGAAATAAATTCGAAAAGGTCAGTGTTTGATGCTTAAAGTTCTCATAGTAACTTGTGTACTCTATCCATTGTTGTTATACGATGAGCATTATGGCCGATTACTTCTACTATATACCATCTTGACTTGATCTTTTCACATCTCTTTCATCAGTAGAAAGATAAACATTATTTTCTCCTGGTATATCTTTGGCCGAATATGTTGAAAATTCCTTCTTAGTGGATGTTTGTTACGTAGAGATGATAATAGGCGATATATTGTATTTCTAAAAAGAAGATAATAGGCGATATGTGTATAAGATCCCTACGATAAAGTATTAAAGATTGCATAAACGAATTATGATTATAAGCAATCAAAATAAATAAACTATGATTAAATGTAAATAAACTATGATTGAATAAACTATGATTGAATAGTAGCCCTTTGTCATAAAGAACCCCAATATCGCCCGAGCGCAATATAACTTCCTACTACCTAATGTTTGATAAAGTTTTGGAGTTGGTGAAATATCCTGAATTTAGTACTAAAAGTTTATGCCAGTTAAAGTTAGAAAAGATCCATATGCAAAGAAAATGTGTCGTACTTCTTCACTATAGTGAATTGCAAGTGGAAGAAGACGAAGTTGAGGGAAGGGGTAAAATGGGTTGGGAAAGAAGGTTGCAAGTGGAAGAAGACGAAGTTGAGGTAGCATGCCACGTGGTGTCCACTTTATCAAAATATTAGTCACATAGGATTGAGAGTCTATCTTTGGACAAACTTAACAGAGAAGGGGTATATTTGAACCATTTGGATAACGGCATGGGTATTTTTGTACATATATGTATAACGAAGGATAATAGTGATCATTTTCTCGTAGTAAAGAGTCAAATTTGGCCCTTATTCCCCGCAAAAATAATCATCTGTACAGAGGCAAATAAAGGAGTTATACTAAAATTTTGTGATGAGAGAAGAATCATTCGTTTTATATTATCATTGCTTTATTATTTGCTTTCATTCAATTATTGACCATTTGCCTATCTAAAATCAATTCAACTAAAATTTGAAAATGAATGATCTAGTCTTCTTTTTTTTTCTTCTTCCAAAATTCAGGTAAAGTATGTAAAACGTATGTCATGAATTCATCGGATTGGCAATGGCGACAGCCCGAACTAATTTTAGATATGGAACTCATTTCGGATACTTCTAACTACCAGTAAAACATAAAATAGAAAAAGCTGAAAACAAAGGAATAAATAAGGTAGAATGGCCTCTAGAAATGTGAATCAATACTATATGCCACACAATCTTTTCATGGAAGAAACTAATGCTTTATACTACACAAAAATTTTAGGAATGGCAATTAGGGCGGGGGCGGGGCAGGGGATAAAATAAATAGGGCAGGGCAGGGCAAAATTTAATCTTTTAAAAATTTCAATGGGGCAGGGCAGGTTGCAGTAAAAATAGCACGATATAGCCAGTTTTCGGACTGGTCATTCAAAAATAGCCAGCGTTTACCAAGTTAATAAAAAATAGCCACTATTTTGCTGCAACAGAGACCGGTCCAGCATAATATACTGGAGTTCGGTGCACCTGTGTATGAACTCTAGCATATTATGCTGGACAAGTATACTTTGCTGGCTCCTGTATAATATACTGGAGATTGGGGCACCGGTGCTCCAAACTCCACTATATTATGCTGGAGTTCCAGCATACTTATCCTGGAACTCTAGCATAATATGCTGGAACTTCAGCATAATATACTGGCACTCCAGCATAATATACTGGCGTATTTTTTCGGGTTTTTAACAGTGTTTTCGCTCAGATTTATCTTTACATGAAAAGTGGCTAAATCTCGATTACTTTTGAAACTGGGCTATTTTTGAATGACCAGTTGTAAATCTGACTATTTTTGAATTTCTCCCCAGGTTGCAGGTGAGCTCTTAGTTCCAATAGAGAGTAATTGGGTAGCCTGAGGCCCAATTCGAAAAGGCCTTTTTAAGCAACGAGCTTCTACGCAAATGCCTTGCCTGCATTAGAAAGAGATAACAGTGTTCTTATGCTAGCTATGTACAAATGTTATACTATAAGAAAAGAGCGAAACGAGCTGACAACAAATCAAGAATGATATGCATATTTCTGAAAGTACATTGAAGCAGAGGCCTACAGATACTTCTATTTCCCAAAATATTTTGTTATTTCCTATGAGAAACGAACAAGCTGATGAAGTTATTTTTTGAGTAAATCTAGTTGATAAACGACGTTCAGAAATAACTACCTCAAAAATCATGAATATGAAAACCAGAAACAAAAGTTGCTGTTAACTGATCATATATTGGATATGTGCCAGAATGGTTACTAATACATATCAATTTTAAATGTTTGAATAAAAGTTGAAAAAGTAAGAAACAATTATAACATACTGCAAAATTAAAAATGAAGGGAAAAAAATGAAAGAAAACTAAATGGGGCGGGGTGGGACAGGGCAGGCCCTACCCTGCCCCACCCCATTTGCATCCCTAACAAAAATACACAAAAAAGTTGATAGAGCTCAGATGCGCTGTTGTATCATCCTGAGATTCGGACAAGTGCGGAGACCCTTTTCACCGCATGGAGCACAATGAATTCTTCACAGCTCTAATGCACCAGCCGGGAATCGAACCCGGGTCTGTACCGTGGCAGGGTACTATTCTACCACTAGACCACTGGTGCTTGGTTAATGTTCTAGGATATTAATAAAACAATATAGCAAATTATATACGCAAAATTTAATCCATTTCAAAGACCCTAGATGAGAAACGAGAAACTTAAAAGTTAGATTGAATGAGCGAGAAATTATAATTGTATCTAATAACTTTTATTCCGCCATATTTAACTTTAATGGTAATTTTAAATTAATCAAAACAACAATTAAAATAAAGTATTCACATAGGAATATTACTAGCTAACCAGTCCACCGCATGTAATAGCATTTGCAGACTTTTTAAATTTAGTTTTTGCTATTTTATTATTAATCTAGACTACAAATAACATGTCGTTTCAGCACTCACAATTTACGTTTGCAGCTGCTTGAAATGCGTTTCTCGCCACCGGAGGTAGAATTTTCACGAAGGGGGTTCAAATTTCTTTTTTTTTTGTAGCTAGTGGGAAGTGAACCTATGACTTTATGAAATTTTTGAACCCCCTTGACCACTAAACTACACTTTTGACTTGTTTTAAGGGGGTTCAAAACTTAATATATAGAGGTAAAAAACAGATTTTGCCTTATATATACAGTGTAATTTTTCGACGAAGGGGATTCGGGTGAACCCTTTCCGCCCCCTAAATCCGCCCCTGCTCGCCACATGAAGTGTACTTGATGCTGGCAAGACATCTTTTCTAAGTGCTAGCGCTATGCAGAGACGCTATAAAAATTTAAATTTGATTGTTTCTATCTTCAGATTTATATCACCGAACCAATTTCACTTAAAATTATGGATCCAACATTTAATATTTTTGATTTAGTAATTTTTACATATATATCTTACTATGTATCGAAAATATTAGATTTAGTTGAACTCATTAATTAAGTAAAGTTTTCATTCCCTCAGCCAGCCAGTAGTGCTAGGATTCTTGTATAAAAAGATTGTCTCCTTCCACATGAAGGGGGTGAATTTCTGATCTAATTCAACATAGTCTTATTCTTGTATGCATCACTGCTCTGTAGTATTCACTTTTGTAATATATCTTATTTTTACGCTGCTAGTGCCATTTTTTCGTTATTGTCAAAATTTTAGCAGCCACATACTCTATGACTAGAATTGTATCTGAGCTCATATATATTGCAGCTGTAAGAAGATGAACTGTCTCTTCGAAACGAATATTCTTTTATTTTTCCACTTCTTATAATTTACTAGCAAATATATGATGTATGGATAACTGAGGAAAAATTGGAAAAATTAGAAGGAAAATATAAAGAAGAGGTGGAGTACATTCTTTTCGTATATACGAACAATAGGGTGTATTATTAAATTCAAGCAATTATCTTTATTTGTGGACGAAAATCAAAGATTGAAGATAGATGTTTTCTTTAATCCTATTTTATGATAATGACATATATCCCATCTCCATTGCGGATGTCCTTTTCTTTTTGCTTTTTGCTTCCATTTTTTATTTTTATTTTATATTTTGGGATACAAAATTAGAGAGGAGGAGGGGAGTACGTAACTTCATTCGTGCTTTCTGCCCATTTAACTACTAAAATGTTACAGTATTCAGTTTTTCAAGAATTAATTGATCAATTTTAAAAGACAAATATATGCTTTGAAAATAAAAATAAAAGATACTCCCTCCGGTCGAAAATAAGTGATTTTTTGGCTTTTTTTCTTGTGGTCCAAAATAAGTGATTTTTCCAGATTTCAAGAATGAATTGATTATTTTTTTCCTACATTGTCCTTGGAGTAAATGGTGTTGGAATATATGTTAGGAGTGTTTATGTGAGATAGTAAAGGTTAATATGGTCAATTCCATTGCTAATTAATGCTAAAAGGTGAATTTCTTAATTTGTGTGAAAACATCTAAAAAATTACTTATTTTGGACCGGAGAGAGTATCGGATTATAGGAAAATATAATAGCCTAATAATTGTCACCTTCAATATCATAAATTTTAGTCAACTATCATAAAAGCAAAGATAGGACAAAAATACTTTTTATGAAAGTTATGTTAAAGGCTTTGGTTTGTGGTCATCTTCAAACGGCTTTTAAAGGTGAAACACTTTCAAACAAAAAAAAAAGGAAAAAAAGGAATAGATAACTTTGAATTTGATAACTAATGGAGTACTCCTTAATAGTCACTTTCATTGTAAAACAAAGACCACCAAAACTTAGGGCGGAATGATAAATGCTCATTCATTTTTAATCGGAAGTTTCGGGTTCGAATCTTGAATATAATGTTGCCTTTAATAAAAAATATTTTACCTTTAAGTAGGACTTCCGACACGAATCTAAATTAGTCGAACCTCAAAAGACATATCAATTAAATATCAGGTGAAAAACAAAACAAAA